GGATAAATTAATGAAATGAAGAAGATATATATTAAATGATTTAAATTATTTAAAGAAAAGACTACATTCGGAATATTTCTCTCTATAAAATTATAATTGTTTTTTTTTGTTGGTTGGTCATAAAAAGTAGAAAATTAAATGAATAAGAATAATGAAAATATGAATAAGATATTAATGATATGAAATGGTTTTTTTAATTATTTAAAAAAAGTCTGAAATTGGGAATATATCTTCTATAAAATTAATAGGTTTTGAAATGTGTCATTAAAATTAGCTAAAAAGTTTGGAGATATTCAACACATATTAATTTTAAGGAAATAAATAAAGAAATTTGAAGATATGATATGTATATATGTGTGGAGAACCTCAATAGATAGATTCACAACAATTTGGCAATTAAATTTTGTCTTTTAATGACAAGAAATGTACTTCATGAAAATTACTTTGATGTGTTTTTAAATGAGAAGATTCGAGAATAATTGAAAAAATCTTCACTAACGATTACTATACGTTAATCAGGTAGATTAATGAAATGACTTGGTGAGTCGGCTTTTTCAAGCTCTCTAGAATGGAGAGAATTAATTACGTGCGAAGTCACCAGACACGGTTAATAGAACAATTAGACGTACCACGATACTGCATACACATAATGTACACAATGCGGATACAGCCTGTATTGTATTGGTGATTAGGGCGTCGTCAATTTCGGGTCACGGGTCAGGTTCGGGTCGAATCCAGGAGAACTGACCCGGGTTCAAAACGGGTCGACCCTAAACCTCGACCCGTCGGTAGAACAAAATGGGTCAGGAAACCGAACCGACCCGACCCGGTTTGGTGTCAGCCGGCGCACGGAACGACGGCGGGGGACGCCCGCAGAGCGCGGCGGGGCGGACGCGAGCAAGGATAGCGCGGCGCGCAGTCGGGTGCGCTGGGCATGCGGGTGCAGGCGCAGGTGTCGCAGCGGCGCGCTGGGCACGCGTTCTCGGCGGCGCTGGACAGCTGGCGGCAGCATGGGGCAGCGCGGGCGCGGGGGCAGCTCGGGCAGCGCGGGCGGGCGCACAGCGAGCAACTCGGGCGGGCAGCGGGCAAAGGCGGGATTCAAAATTTTTCGAATTAAACGGGTTCGCGGGTTGACCCGGCAACCCGTCGGGTCAACCCGAACCCGACCCGTTTTAAAATCGGGTCGGGTTCAACCCGGATTTTCCGGGTCGGGTTTTCGTGTCGTGTCAAATATTGACACCCCTAATTGGTGATATGGTGTGTCCTGATTGGCCTCCGGACGGCGTCCGGTGACCGCACGTAATAATTTCGTCTGAAAATGACTTGATTAATTTACTCAAATGAATATAGGTGTACTGATAATATCATTGTATTTTTAGGGAGATCAGATGGAAATCACAGCATGCATGGAGTTGGTAAATGGTCGGCAAAGCTAGTCCAGACAGAGATAGAGTTAATGTTTTGTTTTTTTTTTTTCAAGGGTCGGTGCATGCTGGCTTCTTTTGGTAAGAAGATCGAATTTATTAAACTGTGGATTCAACCAAGCTTAATCATGATTAGTTGATTAATTCAAAGTAATTAATGCTAATATATTAAAATGAAGATATAATTATAATTATCTTAGCTTTGTTAAGCTAGCCTGTATAGACATTGAAAGGAATTTAAATAATATATATCAGTAAATGTGGCAATTCCTTTTAATTAAGATACTAATCAATAACATAATTAGCAAATTTAATACATGTAAATTAAAGAGAATATTGGATCAAGTAAATTTACTACTAGGCATATATAAGTGATTAAGGATCAAATGATGATCAAATTAAACACATTTATTGCAAAATGGAATAATGCTTAAAATAAATTTCTAATATCAATAAATAGAAAATAAATCAAGTGAAAAGAAAATCATCATAATTAAAATATTTATTAATTTTATAAACATACAATTTATCACTATGAGTGATTAATTTCAACTTAAGTGCCTAATCCATTAAAGCTTTAATTATATTTTTTTATTATAAAAAATATGTCATACTTTTAAGGATTATGAAGAAACTTGTAATTGAATATTGTGCACCAAAAGATGAACCTTTGCCATCTAAAGTCTTGTACAATATAATAATGTGCACACCTCACTCTAAGGTGAATGGCACATCATTGTGTCCTTGAGAAGGAAAAAAAAAAATTTTTTTATGAACTTTAAGAGATATCTAATCTTAAAATAAGCCAATGCTCTATCCACTTTATAATATCTTAATGTACTTGATGGACTTTCTATGATAACTAGAGTTTGCTAGAAGAGTATGAAAAAATAAGATCCACTAAACCACTAAAGGCTAGATGAAGTAGATCTAAGGAATCTAGTAAACCAACTATGACTAAAAAGAAGTAGCCTACTTATTGATTTCAAATTCAAGCTAAGCTCTCTAAAAAGAGTAGCTAAGGAATGTTAGGTTCAAGTCTACTCTAGTAGTTGTGGGGCTGTGGCCTAATAGGATAAGGTCACTAAGCTTATGATTTGAGGAGTTAAAGGATGTTAAGTCATACGTAGGGTTATTATGATAGATTAAGGTAACCCTTAGGGTCATTAGGGTCAATAAAGTCAACAAATTAGTTCACTTGTTAAGATTAACTAGATTTAAAAATAAATTTTAGGTAACCTATGGTTTACTTAGGGTAAAAGGTGACTAAAGACATATATAGTGTCGTTAAGATATATTTTGAGTCAATATAAATTGGGTTGATTTAAAGGTATATGGGTCATCAACTAGGAGTCAGCTCAAATTCATATGGGAGATTAAGCCTAATTTGAGTAGAAAGAAAAAATAAAGAGATTTGGTAAGAGTTAATAGAGTTGACCAAGGTCTAACACAACAAGGTGAGCTAAGATCTGACCAAGGTCTAATTAACACAACAAGGTGAGCTAAGATCAGGTCACCAAAGATCATTAAGGTCAAGCCATGGTCTTTAAGGTCACCTATGGTTAACTTAGAATCTTGCAAAGGCAAAACTATATTAAGGAAGGCTATGGGAATGTGGGCCAACCTATGGTTAACTACGATAAACCAAAGTAAGGTAGGATTAGCTAGGATCACTATTATTGGCCAATATTAATTTTGTTTGGATCTTGAGCTTACCAAGTTGTTAAGTTATTTAAAATTTGGAAACTATTATCATCTAATTATAATTACCAAGAAACTATAATAATAATAATAATAATAATAATAATAATAATAATAATAATAATAATAATAATAATAATAATAATTAATACACAACTAATACATCACTGAAAATCATCTTGATTAGGCATGAATCTCGAAGCATATGTCAAGCTATATAAACATATTCATTTTACAATGTATTTTTTTACATTGCATTCTTTTTTAGCCAACAAATTAATTGGGATTAATCTATGTCAAGCTATACTCAATTAAGTTTTAATTTTCTATATAAGCATTCAAAGAGTTTACTTAGTCTATGGTTATCTATTGATGAATTAAATTAGGCTTAAGCTTAGACAATAAAATCTGCCTAAGAGGAATTGGGTTGGTTTGGGTTTCACTTGAGCTAAGCTTAGGTCAACTCTATCCTAAGGGTTGTTGACTAAGATGAGTCAAGAAAGGGTTCCTATGCCCATCTAAGTATTCATTCAAGGTTCAATTGAACATAAATAAGCCTATTTGAACAATTGGGTTAACTTAAGTCAAGTAGCCCATTGATGGGTCCAAATGGGTTATCCTATAGTCAAGTTAACCTAAGTTTAATCTAATATGGTTATAGAGCTTCACTAAATAACTAGGGCATCTTAGTTTCATATAAGGGCAATCTAGACTAAGTTGATTGATTTCCCCGAAAGAGCTTGGTTAATAGACTATTCTAATAAGGCTAGTCCCTTGGTTACTTAGAGGCTAGGATCAACGAACTTTATGCTTAAAGAAACTACGCACACTACCTAATGGAGTTTAAGAAGAATTGAACATTTATGCTCTAACTCTCAATATACAACATTGCATTAAAAAACAATCTCATTGAAGGTATTGAACACCATTTTTTTTTCTTCAATTGAACACCATGAACCCTTTAGCTAATAATGATCTAAGTAGACTAATTGAAGATCATAAAGCTCACTTTCTTCTACCTTAAGCTTAGTTTTGACGACTTTTTTTATTACTTATGTTGCATCCTAGAGTATTCGCGGCGGTAGAGAAATATATAGTTTAACGTCTAAGCATTGTACGAAGATCCAGCACACAAGCAGATAAGTGAGAGAGGGTGTTGCGTTCATAAAAGACACCATAGTTTTTTATGTGGAAACCCCTGAAAAGGGGAAAAAACCACGGGGCCTAGCTCAGTTTGAAAGAATCCACTAGTATTTGCAGTCGATTACAAATGAGGTCCTTCTTAGGGAGAATACCTTGGCTTGATGTTAAAAATTTACATCATATAGAGCGCATTATATGGTGGGAGTTACAATAATCAACATAGACATGTTTATTTGGTCGGAAAGACCATTGGAGGCGACGGAAGTCGGAAGGACCATAGTCCTCAGGAGACAGAGGTCAGAAAGACCGTTATTTGGCGATGTAGGTCGGAACGACCGTAGTAGGCGATGAAGGTCGGAAGGATCGTAGTCGACAGAAGACCGGGGTCCGAAGGACCTTAGTTAGTATGAGACCGAGGTCAGAAAGACTGTTGTCTGGTGTTGGAGGTCGGAGTGACCGTAGTAGGAGACAAAGGTCGGGAGGACCGTAGTCGGCAGAAGACCAGGGTCTGAAAGATCATTGTCTGGTGTTGGAGGTCAGAGTGACCGTAGTAGGCGACGGAG